CCAAATATAAGTATTAGATATGTAAATGCATAAGAATTTTGTGCCAAATATGTCATTGATCATTTTATTTCTTTAATGAATAATTTTAAAATATCACTTAAATCTTGATGTAATACAAAATAATATATGTTAAGTTTTATAAATTTTAATTATTTTTTTAATAATTCATGTTGAAACATTAATTTTAATGTTTTCAAAAATAAAATATATAAATATTATGTCAACAACAACAACAAATAAAAGTAATGTCAAATGAACTCTTAGTTTTTAAAAGTTAATGCTATTAAATTTCTTATTTTCTCTCTTGTAGTGTTCTTAATATTTTATTTAATATATATACATACAAACATACATGTATATATATATATATATATATATATAGATATATATTAATATTTATTATTATTATGGTGTGTCTGATGCTTGTCCGCATCCAATATTTTCAAAAAGAAATGTGTCATGTGTCTTGACTCCATGTCGTGTACGGTCCCCGTATCCGTATTCATGCAACATAGCTTTCTTCTATTCTTCTAATTCTCTCATGTTTCTTATTTAGAAGACCTGATCATGTTTTTTTTTTTTTCCTTATAATTCACTTCAATGCTACTTAGTAATATCTCATGACGTCTATTTGTCAAGGATATTGCTAATTGTTTAAATTGAATTTCGATATTCATAATGACTGCAACTTAAGTTTGTAATTGAATACCCACTTGCAACACTAAGTCTTCCAAAAATTAATTTTCTTTTTAATTGATTTTGATTAGTGAATCCTGATCGGTAGTTTAGGTCTAGAGTTTGGAGAGTTATTTATTTGGAAATTCCCGTTTTCTATAGAGTTTGTTTGATTATCATTCTAGTTATTATACCCAAATTTGTTATTGTTATTATAGATAATGCTTGAGTAAATTCTCTACTGTGGGTTATATTGTGTTTAAGAAGAAATTATTTTGCCTATGGTTACAAATATTAACAACTCCACATTTGAAATGCAAGAATCACCTAATTAAAAAACACTAAATTAATCATTATTTTAGCCCTGATTCATTCCTAACTTATTTAATTTTCTAGATATTACAGCTGCTTGTGAAATTAAGATGGATAAGATATCAATTTTATGAACATTAACAACATTCTTAAACTTATTCTTTTCAGAATACTAATAGGATTATTGATAGAAATTTTCTCAACAAACACATATACCTCATCAAATGACTGACATAAAAAAACAACCCATTGTGGCATCTATTATTATCTCTACAGAACTCTCTAAGCCATATAAAAAATCTAAATTATCAACCAATGAAGAAAGACATCATATGAGAATTTTCTTAATAAGTCCTTAAATTTCTCCAAACTTCAAAAATTAACTCATTTTCTATTTGCATAAAGAAAGTGATGTTATTTCTTATTTTGACAGTCTTTAATGGAGAAAAATATTATGCCAAATATTTCTAAGTTATGTCACTTGAAATGATTAATCCTAAAAATAATTTATTTAACAAAACTTCGATTGCCTCTCTTTAAAACATGATAACAATTTAAGTTTAATGGCATTATCAAATACCTCATTATACTTTAATGTGGCACATATCTCAAGAAAACTATGTACAAGTTTGAATCTTCTAAAAGTAAACCCCAAAAAAGTTAACAATGGCCCGTTTAGATGCTTGCATGTCTCTTTTAATTTAATTCAAAATTATTAGCTCGAATTTTCGCTCATTAATGCTTTAATAAAATTCAACCAAGTGTGAAGCATAATATCTTAAACATTTGAGTTGCTCTACATAATTAGGTTGTTTGTCCTGATTTAAATTTTATTTTGGATTTTTTTTCTTTTTCAAGTTTTACAGATTTTTTTCAGTTTCAAATTTATACGGCACTACGTCTACGTGATCTACATTACATATATAACACAAAAACTAAGAAAATTACAAATAGAACAACGATAAAAACAACATAAAATAAATAATTATCTACAACAATTTAGAACCGAATAATAATGATATGATATAACAAATTAAATACAATAACACCACAAACAAGTGGTTGAATCAAAAACAAGACAATAAAATTAAGGGATAATTACATAAACATCACGCAAAAATATCGCTATTTACAAAATTAACACTTTTTTGAGCAACCAAACCGATGCAATTACACATGCCACGATCAAACCATTGAGAATTTGATAAAAAAAATATATGAGTTGAGGTTAGATCATGAAGTTTGGTATTTGAGTAAGTACTTGAAAAATCGATGAAAGAGTG